GCGCACCGCCCATTGGACACCGCCTGCGCCAATCCGCCCCTGCCTACCTCAGGTTGCCGGAGCTCAGCGCCAACCGTCACGGCCCGGCGCAGGGAGGAGGACAGCTATTGGCTGTAAGTCCAGGGGCGCTTCGGTGATTGGCTGGCAGGGAGCCAACCGGTATTCGGAGTGGAACCTTGACTGCGGAAACGCTGCGGAGCCAGCCGGCGCAGGACGTAAGGCCGCTGCTTATTGGGCAGCTCAGTGGGCAGCTCGCTCATTGGAGGCGCGTGGTCAGCTTAGGTGACGGAGACCCTTCATCGAATGACCCTCAATCGGGCAGGCTATTGATTGGCTGGCTTCTCTCCCGTCGTGCGGGCGGGGCTCTCCGCAGGAGCGCGGTAGGGGTGGGGTGCTGCCCCCCTTTCGGAGGCAGTCACGTCTTCACCTTCGCTTGGGCTGAGCCGGGCATTGTCCTTCCCACTGGACATTCTCCGCACACAGTGTCAGCATGCGGACAGATTACGGCCAGTCCCGAGAGCCACCTCGGAACTAACTCCTTCCTCACAAGCCTTGCGTTGTCATTTCCAAAAATGCTTTCGCTGCGGTCTTAGTGGTTTTGTGAACCAGTAACTTCGAGGCAGTGGGATTAGGGTCCTTAGTTGGTCATCATCATTATTATTAGGTTATTGTTATCTTTGATTGAGGTGTAATGTATAATAAATTGCATAAATCATAAGTATGCAGCTTGATGGGGTTTTTACATACCCATACACCCGTGTAAACACAACCCAGATCAAGATTCAGAATATTTCCATCATTTCACCAGCTTCCCTCACATCACTATCCAGCCAATAGCAGAGACCCCTCCACCAGCCTCTTTTCTGACTACTATCACCGTGAAGTCATCGCCTCCTTCGCCTGTTCTAGACCATCTTAAAAAGAAGATCTTACTGTGTGTATTCTTCTGGCTCTTGCTTCTTTGGATCAACATAACGTCTGTGAAATGCTTCCTTCTTAGTGTTTTTGTTTCACTTTAGTTGTGTCAACTTGAAAAACATTCAAACCTGTGAAGAACTTTTGTGAGTTTATTTGAGCCAAACTGTCAACAATTGCCGGGAGCAAAATCTCAACAGATTGAGATAATGCTCTGGAGAATGGCAGTTTTGCACCTTATTTTATGCATTACAATCAAAAGAGGAGATGTATGTGGGTGACATGAAATCCATTGGTGGTAGATTAGGAAGGCGGGAGAAAGCCGGGGAAGGGGGCAGAACCTCTGGGATTGGATAAAAAGTAAAATGACAGACACATACTTCTTTTACATATAGGTGGGTAAAGGATAGTTAACAGTCAACAATAAACTCTATAACAATGAGGGGATTTATGGTCTTGGTCTCCACAGAACGGTGCCTGTGCTTTGAGGGGTCCAGAAAAAGGAAAATACTCTGGACATTCCAAAGATATGTTATCACAGATGCAAAAAGACAATGACAGGCTCAATTAGGGTAAAGATTGACCTTTGTCAGGGAAGATGCTGGCCTAGGACATGACTACCCACCACACACTTTTTAGCTAAAAAGTTTTAATTTCAGACTACCATAGATACAATTTTATGTGTATTTATCACAAAGTAACCTTTGTGGTTACTTTAGGTCTCTGAGTTTGCAAGGCCACCATGCAGGCCTTCCCTGAGCTAGTCAGGTTAGCATATGGCCCCTTTTTGTCCGGAGTTGTCAGGTGGAATATTGAAAGAATATACCCCTGTTGATCTCTTCTCCAGTTGATGGACATTTGGGTTGTTTCCACTTTGGGGCTTGTTATGCAAAGTGCTGAGGTCCCAGAAAACCTTAGCATATTGTTCGTGAATTCCAAAGAAATAACTCAGAGGACTGACGGTGAAAGACAGGGGTTTATTAGGACTTAACGTGTGTACCAGTGGCGACCAACCAGTGAAGTTTGCCACCACACTGGCTGCCACCTGTGAAGTTGTCCCACTAAGTCCCATCTGGCCTGTAGACAGGCCGCACTGGGAGTGGCCGGCTGGTGCTGTTGTTTTGCTGCTACCCAGACTTTCCCAACACAAGGTTTTATGGAGCACAAAAAAAAAAAACAGAGAAAAACAGGGCACACAGGGGGAGAGGGATGTGCCCGTACATAAGCTATGTGAGATCAAAACACTAGCTATTTACAATCCTGACTCACATCTAGAAGCAGTTTCTCTTTGGCATTTCTTCTGGCCAAGGTCTCACAGCCCACTTACAGGTGGTCTTCACTATATTTCCAATAGGGTGGGAAGGAGAGTTGGAACATGGGAGGCGGCCCAGGTTCCCATTTACCATACAAGGTGGAAACAACCCAAATGTACTGAATGGATAAATAAATTGTGATGTATCCATATAATTATTCAGCCATAAAAAGGAATCAAGTACTGATACATACAACAACCTGGATGTGTTGGAGGTGGCGAGAATGGCACCAGGTGTTAGACCGGTGGGGTCAGACTACCTGGGTTCAGCAACCTTGGTTCTTGAGTTCTGGCTAGGAAAGAATTCAGAGCCAAAACTCAAACTATAGCCGAAACCGGTTTGGCTCAGTGGATAGAGCATCGGCCTGCGGACTGAAAGGTCCCAGGTTCGATTCCGGTCAAGGGCATGTACCTAGGTTGTGGACACATCCCCAGTAGGAGATGTGCAGGAGGCAGCTGATCGATGTTTCTAACTCTCTCTATCTCTCTCCCTTCTTCTCTGTAAAAAATCAATAAAATATATTAAAAAAAAAAAACAAACAAAAAAACACTCAAACTATAAGAGAACATTTATTTAGAAAATCACAGAGGTGGAAGAAGTGAGTGGCAGAAGAAATAGGCTCAGGAGGTAACATGCTTTGGAGGGAGAGGGAAGAGGCATGGGAGGGGAAAAGTGGAGGGTGTGCTCAGGGGAGGGAGAGCAAGCTGGGTCCTCCACCCTAAGGGCTTTTAAGGGCGGGGGTTTTAGGGGCAATACCAGGAGAGGATCCCAATAGAATACTCATCAACTTTCCAGGTGTATCGTTTCAGGGTCAGGGTCTCCACAGATTGGCAGGTGCCAGAGCAGGGGGTCATCAGTCAATGCAGCTGGTCCTGAGGTCAGCTGCCAGGTTTTGTTGCTTTTCTGTAGCTGAAATACAACTGAAGCCTAGATGTTATCCCTCGGGGTTAATGCTTAACGGCTATTCACCAGTCCCCTTGTTCACACCCCAACCCCCAACCCCATGACTAGCAACGTGCCAGGGGAGGCAAGGTCAGGGAGGGTCCGAACACTGTGACCAGTGATATGGAAGGTCAGAGGGTCTAAACTGCATGATCAGCAATATGCTAGGGGAGGAAAGGTTACCTTGAGGGCAAGGTCCTTGTTGCTTGGCACCCAGGGCTTCCTGCCCTGGTGACTGCCTGTACCTAGCCCTTGCTCTGCTCATGTCTGTCTTACTGCTTACCACAGATGAATTTTGAAAGAAGCCAGAGGTTGCCCAGCCAGAGTGGCTCAGTGGTTGTGTGTTGACCTATGAACCAGGAGGTCATGGTTTGATTCCCAGTCAGGGCACATGCCCGGGTTGCTGGCTCCATCCCCAGTGGGGGGTGTGCAGGAGGCAGCTGATTGGTGATTCTCTCTCATCATTGATGTTTCCCTCTCTACCTTCTTCTTGAAGATCAATAAAAGAAATAATAATAAAAAAAAAGCCAGAGGCAAAAGACCACATGTGTAATTTTATTTATATAAAACTAGAGGCCCAGTGCACAACATTTGTGCACTGGGGGTGGGGGGGGCTGGGGAGGAGTGGATCCCTCAGTCTGGCCTGCGCCTTTTAGCAGTCCTGGAGCCCTTGGGGGATGTCCACAGTTGGATAACCTTAGCGCTGCCACGGAGGCAGGAGAGGCTTCCTGCCACCTCTGCTGCACTCACCAGCCATCAGCCCAACTTGTGGCTAAGTGGTGCTCCCCCTGTGGGAGAGCACTGACCACCAGGGGGAAGCTCCTGCTTTAAGCATCTGCCCCCTGGTGGTCAGTGCACATCATAGAGACCCAGTTGCTCCACGGTTAGGTTGATTTGCATATTACCCTTTTATTATATAGGATGTCCAGAAATGGTAAATCCATAGAAACAGAAAGTGGTTGCCAGGGGCTGGGGTAAGGGGATAATGGAGAATGACAGCTAATGGGTACAGGTTTTCTTTTGAAATGACAAAAGTTCTGAAATTAGATGATGGTGATGGTTGCACAACATTGCGAATGTTCTAAATGTCACTAATGATAAATTTTATGTGTACTTATCACAACTTAAAAAAATATACAAAAGAATAAGAGGCCTAGTGAAGCTAACTGTGCGTGAGCCATCCCAAATTCGGTTTTACTCCATGACCCGGGCAACCAACGAGGGACGTTCTGACACCTGAGCGGGGTCGGTGGTGGTCAGAGGGCCCCATACGGCCCTCTAGAGCTCGGGTCCCCGCGTGGTGCCCAGGGCCATAGCACATTCTCAAGGCTGGCGGGGGGCGCAACGAGCCACCTCGCCCCTATACTCCAGCTCTCAAGTCCAGATGCAGCTTTCGGGACCGAGCCCAGCCCCTTCCAGGCCCGCCCCAGCCTTCCGCTTTCCTCTAAGCACGGCTACGTCCCTTCCTTCCTAAACCAAACCCAAGAGCCCTCCTCCAGACCCAGCCCGCTGCTGGTCAATCCGCTCCACTGTAACTCAGCCCCCATAAGAAGCCCCGCCCCTCTACCTGTCCATCAAACTCACCCTGGCCCCGCCCCGCCAACCTGGCGTCGTCTTCCTCGCTCCGGCGCGGCCCGTTGTTATGACGACACGGTCGTAAATCCGCCATCTTCCTGCGGCGCGTTGCGACATGGAGGGCGCAATGGCAGTGCGGGTGACGGCCGCTCATACGGCAGAAGCCCGGGCCGAAGCCAGGAGGGAAGCGGGCGA